TTGTAGTGTGTTATTCCGAAACAAACTTCTTAGATTTTTTTAAGAAAACAAAATAACATTTACTCACTGTGCCAAACAGAAAATACCATTTTTTTAAAAGGGCATGAAATCCAGTCTTACACCCCCACCACCGACAGCCACGCCTCCATGGTATCGGGGTGTTTTCAGTAGAGATTGTTGGTGCTCCCTAAACATCACGCGCCTGTGCCTTGCCAGCCCCCTGCAGATCCAAGGCCCTGTGCCCAGCTGTGGCCCGCTCTGGGCACGTCCTGTCACCTCTCCTGTCACTTCTCCTTCCCTTGCTCGAGCAATCTTGGAGGCCACATGTTTCACGTGCAATGCTGGAAAGAAGGATGGGGAACGTTCAGCCACACTGGCCCTTGGCACAAGTGAGAAATGACCTTTCCCGAGTCAACCCACTGAGACCTGGTTTCGCTGGGACTACAGTCCCACATTCGGGCCCCAGACTGTGGCTCTCCATGTGTGGTTCCCCAGAGCCATGGCTCTCCAGGTGTGTTCCCCAGACCCGTGGCTCTTCAGGTGTAGTCCCCAGACCCGAGGCTCTCCAACTGTGGTCCTCTGGACCTGTGGCTGTCCAGGTGTGGTCCCCAAAGCCCTGGCTCTCCAAGCATGACCCCCAGACCCGTGGCTCTCCAGGTGTGGTCCCCAGACCCATGGCTCTCCAGGTGTAGTCCCCAGACCCGAGGCTCTCCAACTGTGGTCCTCTGGACCTGTGGCTGTCCAGGTGTGGTCCCCAAAGCCCTGGCTCTCCAAGTGTGACCCCCAGACCCTTGGCTCTCCAGGTGTGGTCCCCAGACCCATTGCTCCCAGATGTGGTCCCCAGAACCATAGCTTTCCAGGTGTAGTCCTGGATCCATGGCTCTCCAGGTGTAGTTCCCCAGAGCCATGGCTCTCCAGGTGTGGCCCCCAGAGCGAGGCTTTCCAGGTGTAGTTCCCCAGACCCGTGGCTCTCCAGGTGGGGTCCCCAGACCAATGGCTCTCCAGGTGTGGTTCCCAGACCCGTGGCTCTCCAGGTATGGTTCCCAGAGCCGTGCCCTTGTGGAAACACACGTTTCAGGTCCAGTCCCAGCCCTGCTGAGCCTGAGCATGGGTGGTGTGTGGTGTCTGCTATTAGGTCCCACCATCCTGCAAAGGATAGAATGCAGCTCCAGTCTGAGAGCCACAGCCTGGACTCCACAGGCCTTCACAGTGTGTGCTCTTTTTGTTATGTAACTGGAACCATCTGATCTCCTACATAGTTTGTAGCTTTGGTTTTAAACTGAAATCACTCTCATTGTTTCTTCCATGACAAATGCATGTACTCCAAGCCGTGTGCATGCCCTGCTTTTCTCTCTGAGTTATATTTTATTTAGCAGAATGTTCTCCTCCCTCCAGCCCTCAGTTTTTCTGCTCAGCCTAGGATCCCAGTGGCCTTTTGGGTCTGGGCTTCCAATTGTGAAAAGGTGTGCCTGCTATTCCCATCCTGGCTTCCAGGAGAGGCCTTGGGTGCTGCAGGCATGCTGACTTTTCTTTTTTCTTTTTCTTTTTTCTTTTTGGGACAGAGTTTTTGCTCTGTTGCCCAGGCTGGAGTGCAGTGGCGCAAATCTCATCTCACTGCAACCTCTGCCTGCTGGGTTCAAGCGATTCTCCTGCCTCAGCTTCCCAAGTAGCTGGGATTACAGGCATGTACCACCACACTCAGCTAATTTTTGTATTTTTATTAGAGACAGGGTTTCACCATGTTGGCCAGTCTGGTCTTGAACTCTTGACCTCAGGCGATCCACCCGCCTCAGCATCCCAAAGTACTAAGATTACAGGCATGAGCCACTGCCCCGGCCTGATGTTTTCTTCGTAAGTGGTTTTTTCTATTACTTGCTGCTGCCCAAGCACAGATGGTGACTTACCAGTGCTGTCAGAGCAGGTGACTGTGGTGAGAGTCATCATAATTATCAGGTGAGACCAGGAAGAATCCACGTGCACCAGGGTGGGGTGCTTTGCCCTGAGCGGCAGACCTCCACAAGCGAGCTCCATCAGTCTCGAGGTGCTGCCAAACACCCTGCAGATGAGGCAAGCAGTGGAGAACATGCAGGCACCCCCCTGACCCAAGGCGACTTCTGATCCACCTCGGCTCAGGGAAGCGTCTCACATGAGCCACATGCGCTGACAGGGGCTAAAGCCAGCCTTGAGCACAATAAAACATACCAAACTTTTTCCTTTTGAGGCCTAACC